AAACCCATGCTTATCAATGTCTTCCAGTTCTGGAGGTCACAAGGCCAGGTGGATTTGGCTGCATTCTCTGTTTATGTCCTCACAAGGCCAGAATCATAAGGCAGTCCGGCTGGGTTCTTCTCTGGGAAATCTGAGGAATCATCTGTTTCCAAGTGCATAATCCATTTCCTTGTGGGGGTACATCTGAGGTCCTTGTCATTTGGGGGCCACTTCCTGCTCCTGAAGGCCACCCCCCTCATTCCTTCTCCTGTGTCCCCCTCCCACTTCAAACCAGTGACAATGCACTAAGTTCTTTCTTCTGGGTTTTCTGTCTCTTCCAGATGCCTGCCCCTTCTGTCGCCAGCTGGGGAAACTTTCTGCTTTCACAGACTCCTGCCATTAGGTGAGGCCCATCCAGACTCCCCATATTAAAGTGGACCATACAACACAACATAATCATAGGCACCCGTTCTCTGGATTTAGGGGTAACACCTTCAGGAGCCACCTTCAGAAACTTCTGTCGTCCACACTGACCTTAAGACAACCTCTTTTTTGGTCCAATTTTCTTTTTTTTTTTTTTTAATTTTTTTTTTCAACGTTTATTTTTATTTTTGGGACAGAGAGAGACAGAGCATGAACGGGGAAGGGGCAGAGAGAGAGGGAGACACAGAATCGGAAACAGGCTCCAGGCTCTGAGCCATCAGCCCAGAGCCCGACGCGGGGCTCGAACTCCCGGACCGCGAGATCGTGACGTGGCTGAAGTCGGACGCTTAACCGACTGCGCCACCCAGGCGCCCCTCAATTTTCAAATTCTTACAGAATCGTTAGTTTTATGACACTGAACTCTTTGATCTTTTTTTTTTTTTAATCAATGAAGTTTCATCTATAATAATGATATTTACTTCACATTACTGGATTCGGTGATACAATGAATGCAAAATCTTTGAGATCTGTGCAATAGTACATGCTAATACATGGTGATAGTTATTGCTACTGTTGCCACTGCTACATCTTTTACTATCACGTGAGATCTTCTGGCCATGTTATTCATCATACAAATGTAAATAAACACTGTGTTGTACCTGGTGTCATTCTGTTGACTCAGCATCAACCACAGTTATGGTTTTGATATGTATCTTCTTGGTTACATTTTAACATTTTACTGATTCGGGGCAGTACATATCTAAAGCCCTTTTAAAATTTTTGGAACTGTTACTGGCAAATTTTCTTTTTGATTCATTGGACACTAAGTTTCAATATCTCTCCAAATTTAAAAAGCGGAAGCCTAGTAGAAAACATATTTTTTGTGACGTGAGTATAAAGAAGTATTTTTTAAACATGATACTAAAAGCACACGTTGCAAAATAAAACAATGATAAATTAGGCTAAATCTAAATAAAATATTTTACACAATAGTACGAAGTTCAAAAACAAGGGTCAGACTACAAGATATTTGAAACACCTGTAGCAGCCAATGGAAGACCATCACAAATCAATGAAGACAAATAAGCAAATAACGCAACAGAAGAAAATGGGCAAATATATGAGTAGGAGATTCTGTTAAGTTTGGTGGTGAAGAATTAAATGTTCAATTTGGAGTTACTGGCACTGTAATTAGGTCTTCACTGAGACATACAACCATAATCCCCTCTCTGGAAGCCGGTCCTCTGGGATGGGGCTATGTCTCTCATTAGGGATGTGGGTCTCCAAAGACATTAGCATCAGTTCATCTACCAGAGTGTAGCAAACTTTCCTGTGAGGCATCATTATTAAAAATGTGTTATTATATAAATTAGTTGAGAGCAACATCCTCAGAAGTTAGGGTCCAGAAAGACAAGGCTTTTCTATTGTTGTTGTTGTTGTTGTTTCATGGAAAACGAAATGAGGAATCTCTCGCTTTTCAGTAGCTAAAAATCAATGTCCTAGGGGCGCCTGGGTGGCGCAGTCGGTTAAGCATCCGACTTCAGCCAGGTCACGATCTCGCGGTCCGTGAGTTCGAGCCCCGCGTCGGGCTCTGGGCTGATGGCTCAGAGCCTGGAGCCTGTTTCCGATTCTGTGTCTCCCTCTCTCTCTGCCCCTCCCCCGTTCATGCTCTGTCTCTCTCTGTCCCAAAAATAAATAAATGTTAAAAAAAAAATTAAAAAAAAAA